TTAAGAAACAGAGGAAGAATATTGTATAACATTAGGGAATTATTTTTGTATAAGATTTGTTTCTTTAATAGAATTTTATTCAAAAAAAAATAAAAATAAAATAAAATAGGGACACCCAGGAGATGACACGTGTCATTGCGGGTGTGTCTTTTAATATATAGTTATTGATATTAATATGATGATTTACTATGTATTTAGATAATTAATATGCCTTTTAGAGACCATTTGAATTAAGTTTAATTTTGTCACAAACGGACCACTAATTAGGTTATTTGGATAAAAGTTGACTCGCCTTCATATATATAGGGTCAACTTAGAAGAGAGAGAAAGTTAGAGAAGATGAGTGAGGTAACTAGGTAAGGAATGAGAGCTGGGTATTTTCGTCATTCACTTACTATTTGCGGGCATTTGTAAGAAATATATGGGCGTGTATGTAAATGTTGCAAAAATCAAAATGTTGCAAGTATTTTAAAACAGATAAAATGTATATATTTTAACAGAAAAAAATTATTCCTAAGGAACTAGGGAAGGGATATATATAGGAAATTTTATGGATATTTTGGGACTAGGAAAATGATCTACTCGTATTTGCTTTACTTGCAATTATATGTGCAAGATTTAAGTCAATCTGCACAACTTTCTCAATTATCCTAGTCACTTACTTCCGCAAATTGTTAGGTCTCTTTTGACATTCTTAGACTTTCTTGCAAAATGTGGAGATTTATTTGCTCAACTTTTTTGAGTTAAATCGCGTAACTTTTAGCTGATTTGCGATGCTTTGAGTGGACAGCATTACATGCAAATTTGCACTTGTGTTTTATTTGCCACACTTTCTTTGAAATAAAGCCCACAGTTTGCCACACTTGTGTATCACATCTAAGGACAATAAGAGGGTGTTCTTTTCAGCTAGTTTAAATAATTTTAAAACAAAATACGGAGTATGTTCTAACAATTCTAAACATTCTTACATGTTCAAATAAGATATTTAAGTAAAATTAAGTTTAGATGAATCAAATAAGTTGAATATGACACGTCCTAAAGATATAAGTATATAACCAAAATTAACTTGAAATTAAAAATTAAAAATCACCCAAAAAACTTATTTAGAAAGTTAAGGACTTCTAACCATCAAACCAAGAATAAGGCCTAAAAACGTACATAAGCAAATAATCCATATTTGACCAATTGATTTTTGGCCACTTCTTCATATAATCATATTCTACGTAACCACTACTTTTCATGTGAGTAGGTATAAGATAAAAGATGGATCAACTGAATGAGATTCAATATATAAAGGTGAATAGAAATGTGTAAGATAAAATAATTTGACAAAAGATTAAAGAAAATATAAGTGGCTAGAAAAACAATACTCGTATGTACCTCGAAACATAACAAACGAAAGATTTAATATTCACAATTACGTACTATACATGTGTAATTAATTTTTTTTTTTTGATGGGTCATGTGTAACTAATTTAAATGGAGTAATATGTGTAAATAGTTTAATTTAATACTCAATTGTCAAACAATATTAATTTTTCATTTGTTTTGAATATAAAAATTCATTGTATTTATTATAACCACATATTTTATTTATTTAATTGTTAGTACAATTATGGTCGGTCAAACTAAGTACGTGCTATGTTCAACTTATTTTCACTTATTTTAGATTTCATAAGTTTATGTAAAATAATTTAGGAAAATTAAGTTCGTTGATAAGGATTACCATGTTTAAATTTCGACTAAAATTAACTATAAAAAGGTCTAATAAATTCAAATAAGATAAAATAAATTCAAACAAGTGAAAATCAATTAAATAATAAACACTTTGAATATATAAACATACAAATATTAAAATGGGTATAACATTATTTTTTTGACAGCTAAAATGGGTATTTTTAATGTAGGGAATATCATGTGTTAGCACTTAAAGGCAGCTGTTACTTGTTAGCAATTCAAACTAACATTTATTTCCGTTCAAAAAAAAAAAAAAAAAAAAAAAAACATTTACTTCGCACCCCGGATTATCTTCGAGAATCTAACGGTTTTAAAGAGATGTTCAAAATAAACATTTACTTTGTAATTATTTAAGGAGAGATTATTAGAAATGTGACCTAAAGTATCTCACATGCGTAGATGGGAAATGTGACATTTCATTTGATTTTTGATTTTCAAGTGAATTTAAGTCCCTACAATTGTGTGGCTTTGATCTTCTCTAAACTTTTGGACACGTGGAAGCATATTGCAATAATAATAAATAAAAAAAATTCGGCTTTATTAAGGTACATTAGCTCACACAATTAAGCGTGAAGATCAGCCAATCATAAAACACCGTATCATTGATAAAAAATAACTTCGTATCACTATCATCCTCAATAATTTTTAATTATACTCTCCCTATAAAAACTTTTCAATTTAATTTTTGCACTATTTATATTTTATATACATATAAATAATCATTTCTTCTATCTTAATAGGTAAAAAACAGATGTATTATGTTAAGTGTTTTATCAGTTAATCAGAGCTTGATTGACTCGTTGCGTTACATACAAACTTGTGAATCGGTAAGGCAGTGCAACTCTTATTATTTAAAATAAAAAAAATGTTATTATTCTCTCTGTATATTAATAAGTGTTCCACTTTGATTTTTGACCTGTTTATAAACTAACTTTAGCTTAATGTGGTCTGTATATAAATATTTTTGTTATAATGTAAAATGTTATAAAATTAATCACAATGCACACATCATAAAATCAATTTTATGTAATTTTGCTAATAAACAATAAAATATAACGATGATCAATGTTCTCATTGGCATATATATTAGGTAAACTGATGCATTTATTGATGATCAGCGTTCTCAATATATAATTTTAGGATATAAAATATTTTGCAATTTCTTTTTTTTTTTTTATAATGAAAACTAAACATTTATTGATTGAAATGTTTTTATAGTGAAAAATATTGAGATTTTTTTTAAGGAAATTGAATAAAAAATCTGCCTTTTTCGTAAATAAAATTTCGATCTAAAGGTCAATTTGTTTCCTTTCAAAAAAATAAAAAAGAAAGGTCAATTTGCTAAACCAACCAACCCAAAAAAACTCATAAAATAATAACACCTCATCTGATTTTAGACAGTAGTGTGGGACCCAGTTGTTGTCTCTCTATCGAGAGTTAGCCAATTAAATACTTTAGCTTAAAAAAAGAAAAAGAAAAATAAAATAAAATAGATTAATAAAAGCCACTTATACATCTTTTGATTTGGTTTAAGTGGATACAGGAATTAATCTACACTTGTTAACAAGTTCTATAGATTTTTGTACTAATAATTATAATTTTTTTTATTTATTTTTAATAGAAAGTAACAGAAATGGTTTTTGTTGACCATATATAGAATATAAAATTTGGTAAAAAGAAAAATAAAAAGTTTGTAAAAGCTTTGATATTTGTCATGCCTGCTGTTGTTATTACTTGAGGGCTTGACCAGATAGCTTCAAATCTGAATTTCAAATGAGCATTTGTTTTTTTATTTAAGGCCAAGTTATGTTTACAAATCATGCTGGATCTTGCAATTATGATATTATTAATAAATTGTGTTGTATTGTTTATGTGGGCATAGAGCCATAACGGACAAATAATGTAAGTAAAATTTTATCTCATGTGTCTTGAGTACCACCCATAATGCATAAATCAAATTAACTAGTTAAGTATTCACGTTTTTGTTAAGTAATGTCATTATTGCTTTAACAATGAGAAATGAAAAGTCTGTGTGCATTATTGCGTATTGAATTATTGATACTCCTTTATTTTCATTTTACTTGAGTTTCTCACATTTTTATTGCCCTTTTAAGAAGAGATTAAATTAGATATTCCGTAGAAAAAAATCATAAAATGTGGGGCCCATTTTTTGAGAAATACGGAGTGCAATACTATAGTAAAAAAAAAAGCCATACAAGTACCAAAACTAAAGTACACTGTAGATAAAATGTGACAAACAAAAAGGAAAAAAAAAAATTAATGTCTGTAAATAAAATGTGTCAAAGAAGGTATTATTACCAAATAACTACAAATATGTGATTAAATTACAACCACATACAAAGTACTCCATATTAAAGATGAAAGAAAAACTTTTAGGAAATAAAAATAATTGGTTGACTGGATTTATTCTATTGAAGATCAATAATGAAATCTACTATATTAAATTTAGGTCTGATCTTTTTAATCATTTATATTCATGATTTAAATTAAAATTTTATTCCATTCAGTTTACGTTTTCCAGTAAGACATTAAATCAATGGCAACAGAAATTGAATCTAATCACACTTATCATAGGATAAATTGGCATAAAATAATTACTAACATTATAATTAGTACTAATAATAATGTTTAAAAGCAATAGTTGCAACTTGTCCAGTTTGTTGTGTTGTTGCTGCTTGCAGTACCGCAGGCGTGTTGGGTGTGCAGTACAAATGTTAAAAATTAATATCTTATTATGTAAATTAAGACTAATCTTGTTTAAAAATAAAATAAAATAAAAATTAAGACTAATCTTTTTTAAATGGTAAATAATATAGATTAAAAAGGTAATATTATATTGGATTATAAGTATCTGTACCAAGTACCAAAAGCAAGGAAGGTGGAGAGAATCTAGAAAATGGCCCCCAAAGGGTAAAACCCATTAATTTATTTCCTTTTTTCATTTTAGAAAAGTTCAATAAGATAATTATTTTCTCACACATAAGGTTTTTTTTTTTTTTTTTTTTTTTTCACACATAAGTTATACAAGTATTATTAGGTTTTAAATAATCATGATAATAATCAATTCAATAATTGAAAGTAATTAATACTATCTTATTAAGTATTGTATTAATTGCGCATTTAAGTAATCACATTAAAAATGCAATTCAAAATACTGCAGTATTAAAGACACGACTATAAACTTTAACTGTAAAAAGATGATATAGTAACATAACTTATACAAATATACCAAAATAATAAACTTAGGTTTATAAATAATGATACATTGATACTTTATATTATTGTGGATCGGGTCTATACAAGATTAGCAAGTTACAAAAACCTAAAAATAAATAAAAATTAAAAACTTATGTTAAAAGCTAATTAAGTGAGACAGAGAAGAGTAGAGAGAGAAAGAAGAGAGAGATAGGAAGAAGAAAGATAAATGGAAAAAGCAGAGAATAAAAAGAGACCGGATGTTGACAAATTTCATGTCACTGTTCTTAGAAGGTCGTTTGTTTGTGTGAAGATTTCTTATCTGGGATCTCTCTCATTCTCTCTCTCTAACAAAAAATAAAAACTCTATTTTCTCTCTCTACTTTCTCGCTCTTCATTTCTTCACTTTCTCTCTCTAAAAAAAATTAACTCTTTGTTTCAGACACTGGCCCAGCAGATCGAAATCTTCATCTTTTTCCTCCCTTCTTAATCTCATGACGATCTAATTAGCTCTTCATTCAATGGGGTTTTTTCAAAATCTTTTTTTTATTTAATATATTTATAAATATTTTATTTTTGTTTTCTAACTAAAGGTGGGTTTTTTATTTTATTTTTATTACTTATAGTTTTGTTATTAAAGATTTTATCTTTATTTAATTTTCTTGTAAACTCATTTGTAAAGTTCATTCCTTTTTCAGTCTCTGAGGACTGAATTTTCATGATGGGACTTTTTTTTTTTTTTTTTCCCTTCTCTTTTATTATCATCTCTGAAAAACCTCTCTTACTCATGAATGATTGAATCCCCTTTGTTTTAGAGAGGAAAACACAGTTCTAGAGAGAGAGAGAGAGAGAGAGAGAGAGGGAGAGTGATTGGAGGATGTGGGTCTAAAGGTAAAAATCTTTATTTATTTATTTTGATTTCTACTATTTACCCAGAAATTAAATTTGTGGGTTTTTGATTTTTATGGGGTTTTTTGATCAATTGTGTACTAATCTAGTTCTGTTTAATAATTCTTGTTCTATTGATATAATTGGGTGTTGTTTTTGGTTGTTTAGATGATGTTTGCATTTTGTTTAATTCATAATTGCTTGGATTTGGGGTTTGGGGTTTGGGAATTGCATTTAATTTCAATTTGTTGGTATTATATCTAATTGGGGATCTAATGCCTCATTATATGTTTTGGATGAATATTCCCTTATCAATAATCATTGATAATTTTGTGCTTTATTCATGTTATATGAGTAGGGTTTTGACAATTTGATAAGTCTCAGTTTGGAATTTTGGGTAAATTTCCTTTTATGAGAACAATTGCCTTTCCTTTTGTTTCTTAGATATCACTGTTAATCGTGTTTTAATTGGTGTTTTAGCTGAATTTTTGTTTTATCTACGGAATATACTTTTCTTAACATTCTTTGGAAATGTTGTTTTAATTGTTTATGTGTAAAATGGGTGAATCTTTACATTTTCCGTTGATTTATGATTGATTGTTGGAGTCATTTAAGTGGTTAAATTAAGCGAAATTTAGCATAACTTGATATTTTGGGCATTTAGCTGAAGGCTATGCTGCTGCTTTTGTTATTTTCGTTATCCTGTTTTCTAAACTTAATAGGCTTAATTAGAGTGCATTTTGAATTTCATCGTTTTCTGTTATATAGTGATGCTTCGCGACAAAATGGAGTTCGTTATATGATTGACGTGGAATTGCATTCAAGTAGTTGGGGGGGGGGGAGTTTCTGGACTTTACGTGGTTACTTGCTAAGCGACACCTTGTTTTCCGGTGGATGGATGATAAATAAAATTGGTTTGTTGAGTTTATTGAATGTCTGGAAGAGAGTGTTGATTAGGAGAGTTGTTAGAGGCTTTAGAAAACTTGGGCTATTATTGTCTGGTAGTGGCTTTGAGGTTTGCAGCTTATATATCTGTATCTTGAACTGTATTCTTGGGATATCCATGGTGTTAGGCTGCTCCTTATTTTGGGTGAGAGACAACTATTCAATCTTTCTTTGCGAAAAATTATTGTGAACGTTGTGTTTAAGTGTCAGTTAGGTTGGTGCATAGTTGCTGTGTGTTTGTAGCGTAGTTTCTGCTATCAATTAGTAGATTGCCAATTCAACAAACTTATTGTCACAGAGTTGTACGTGTGAGATTTATGAATAAATCTTATGGCTTGCGATTTATAATTACATCTTTTCATTTACTGAACTGATTTCTTAATACTGCTGAGGTGATTTTTGATAAACTTTAGGGAGTCAATTGATCCTGCATTAATCAGTGGAAACATTACAATATATATAGCTCTGGGAAGATGATCTGTACCTGAAACCTGTACATGAATTAGGCAAATATACTAAGATTAGGAAACAAATACTTGTTTCCTTAATACAAGGATTATTTACTAAAATATATCCACATTAATTTATTTTATTTCCTTTGTTTTTTTTAAATAACTTTTTTTGGGGGACTGGTGGTGGACATTTGATTGAAGGATACAGCCTTTTTATATGACAAGATAGTCAAGCAACTCGGTAAAATAGAGAATAACGATTGTCGAATATGGTTTTTTGTGGATTCTCTGTGATTCTGGAAGAGGGAAGGGACGACATAAGGGCACTCTCCATATAGTTATTGTAACACATGAGCTCTTGAAAGACTTGGATGGCATAGTAGAAACTGCTCTTAACAAATTAGGATACTCTTTTATTGGAATGGATCTACCAGTAGTATGTTTCTAGTAGAGATAGATTCATTACACAAGAAAGAATGATGTTTGGGCACAGATAGTGGGTTATAGATTTCAAGTCTTATGTTGGAAATGTTAAAGGTTTTAATTTATTTAAAACTGTATTTATACTGGACATTGTTATGTTCAAGTGTAATTGTGATATCAGCGGGGAGTTTTAGCTGGCATATTTCTACATATCCCCTTTTCAATATGCTGAGATGTTTGAGTACATTGTTCCATGGAAAATTCCATATGATTCACCTTGTAAGTTTGTATCCAGGTGTGAGTATGTCCTTTTATGGCACTGAAGATTTATATGCTTATGATGATAGATACGAATGACTTAAAATGCATGTCTTATTCCCGAAGCTGAATATGGCTTGTACTCAAAGATCCTGGTGGGCGTTGGGGGATGTTGGTTCATACGAAAATCTGAAATGTGGTCCCTGCTGGTAACCCTAACACCCATGAAACTTGTATTTCGTCGAGTTATAATATATGTACACACTCCATTATCTTTATTGCTTCTTGACCTCGGACAACCACAAGTCAGATGCAATCTTCTTGCTGTTAATGTTTGGATGCATAATATTTCTCTCTCTCTCTCTCTCTCTCTCTCTCACACACACACACACACACACACACACACACACAAAGGCTCTTCATTGAAGTCCTACCTGGTCAAGATTCTGAACAAGTTTGCAAATCTTGTTAGATAACAAGTTGATCTCTGCAATGATGTCTATGTTTGTATCAGTTATGCTTGCTACCTGTAAATATTTGCAAGATGTGTAATGTGAGGAGTAGGGGAACATATGGTGGTGGACTGGTGGGTGTGCAGAAGGCATTGCTTAAATGGATATAGGTTTCTGTAATGTTTTTGTTTGGTGATATGTTTGTGCAAGCCGTTGTTGCTGCAGTATTCGAGTGTAAGTGTGTATTCTGTTAGTGTCTGTTTCTTATTTGGATAGTTTTTCCATAAATGGACAGGAATGGGAACAAAAGTGCAGTTTGAGAATTACTTGCCTGCATATTACTCAATGAAGGATCTTACTCGTGAATCTAATGGTGCTAATTGGCCTTCTTGTTTTGGTGAGAGCAATTTATCCAACGGACAATTTTATTATGGTTTTTTGCCTAGGACTGTTGCCGATTCACAGCCAGGGTATGACAAGGATATTGTAAAGCAAACAATGCTGGAGCATGAAGCCATATTTAAAGATCAGGTATGTATTATTACCAAATTCAGTCATCTAATCATTACATAATAACCTTTTTCTGGAATAGATGGAATTAATGAAGATTTTTTAAGCCCTAATTTAATTCTCGAAGATTCTTCCATCGACCATTCACATGCTTATTTATCCAGGTGAGTGAGTTACATCGACTATACAGAGTACAAAGAGATCTGATGGATGAGGCCAGGAGGAAAGAGCAATTTAAACGGAGAATTCCTTATGAAACATCATCTTCATCAAGCCCTGTACCATCCCAAATGCAATATGAGGATGTGCAAAGATGGAATGGTCCAAACCTTCCAATGTCAAACTCAGTTTGTGGTAGACCTCCCATTTCAGCCCCAGATACTGTTCAATCTTCACCATTATCTGCCAAAGGAAAGAGCATACAAGCCAGTCCAAGTTCACTTCCGAATTGCTATAGCCCAAAGAACTTGGAATCGGAGTCTAGACCGACAAAACTTAGAAGACGAATGCTTGACCTGCAACTCCCAGCTGATGAGTATATTGACACAGATGAAGTGGATCAGTTTAATGGTGTAAAAGTTTCTGATAATATGAGTCCTTCCCCTGATAAAAACAGAAAGTTTGCTGTGGGGAATGGAAAACGGTTAATGGACTATCCTGGAAAGATTGAATTTCAAGGAGATGCTTCAAGATCTAATTTGCATGTCAGTAAACCTAGGGCTCTGGCAGACTTGAATGAGCCATTAATTGTGGAAGAAGCGACCTCTGTCTCATCTGTTGACTTTTTGCGCCGTGGTGGTAGTCACTGTGATGTTCAGTACAGGGATCTTTCTGCACGGTTGTTAAGGTCATCTAATGATGTTCCTCAGAACCCCAAGAATAATGGCAGCATGAATGGGGCTTTGAACAATGTACACTTAGAAAATAGATCAAATGACGCGGACTGGTTTGGCACATTAGAACAAGGTAATAATGAACCTCATTGCTCTTAAATTTTGGTTTTCCTGCATTTGGATTCTTGATCTCTAGAATTAGGAACTAAGGCATGCCTTCACTTTTAGACGAGTGATGCATACTTGAGTCTTCTCATTTGTTATATTTATTGTATTATCAAGGTAGTTGTGCGTACTGTTGATCATTATTTCCGTGTTTAAATTGCAGATAATAAAGGTAGCATTAGATCCATCAATCAAGGAATCTGTCCAGAAAAAGTGCCTGTACCATCTCAGCCAGTACATATTATGCTTGATCAAGTTTGTCAACCTCCGGCTTTTCTGACCAGTGATCGTGTCAAGGGAGATCTTTGGAAAGCAAAATCTGGTGGCATCGTAGAAAAATCTGACAGAGGTTATTCTCTATCCAGCTATAATGTTCCTGGAACAGGTGCCTCTCATCTTCCAAATCAACCGGGATTTTTTCAGTCATGGGATCAATGTAACTCATCTTGGGGGAAACCGGGCAGCTTTTTTGGCCAAAAGCCCATACCAGTTCAGACAAGTCCATATCCAACTTCTGCTACCTTGAGCAAGAGTCCCCAATCGTCTGCCCAAAGCAATGATTTGTTTGGTAATAATAAGTGGAATTTAAATAGCAGCCCTTCAGCTTTGGGGACTGACACACCTGTGAGAAATGGTTTTTATGAAGGTTCATCTTATTCTTATAAAGGCGTTGATTATGCTAATGGCAATTACAGTGAGAAAAAGGTGCCTTGTTCCAGTATCAACTACTTCAAGGCTACAAGTTGCTCCAATGTGAATCCTGTAAAAGATGCGAACTTGAATGTGGCACTTCCAAATGGTGTGTCTGACGATCATTTTAGCAAGCAAGGTGTTAGGATCTTAGACAAGGATTACAGATCCGAGGATCCTGTAGCTGTTTTGCCATGGCTCAGAGGAAAGGGCGCTTGCAATAAGGAGGCAGAGAATTCAAGGAAAGGTCTTAACTCGCTGGAGTCAGCCCTTTCTCAATGGGGTTCAGTCGCTTCAAATTCATGTGAGGGTGATGTTAAAGCCAAGGTTCTTGATAGCAGCAGAAAAATTCTTGGGGTACCCATTTTTGAAAACCCTCCTACACCGAAGAAAGAGATTTCCAATCCTTTGCTTATTCACAAATGTTCAGGAAACAAGGAGAGTGAAAGAAGTGGGAGAAAAGGTGGTTTTGATATGAATTTACCTTGCGACCCCACTGAAGAGGAAGCTGTGATTGTAGGAGAGAATATTCAAACTGAATCTGCTAGTCTCAGACATCATTTTGATCTTAATTCTTGCATATTTGAGGAGGAAATTCCGAGTGAAACCCCTCTTCCAGAAAATAAAACCTCCATGAGGATCAGCACTGGTATAGATTTGGAAGCTCCCTTCATTCTTGAAGACGAGGAGGTCATTCCTCCAGATGAAGATTCTTTAATAAAAGAGACAGAGAAAGAGCCAGAATTACCCCAACATAATGCTGGTGATGGAGAAGCCGAACTTGCCAAGTCAGCAGCAGTGGCAATTGTTGCCATTTCATCATTTGTTAACCCAAATCAATCCAAGGAAGCAACTTTCCTACAAGTCGAAACTGACTTGGATGATCCCCTTCAGTGGTTTGTTGATATCGCTTGTTCTAATGGATCTGATCTTGAAAATGTGGATGGGATACCCGAAGATTTGGATGATTTTGAATTGATGACTTTGAGACAGAAGGAGTGCACTGCGGAAGAGTCCTTCCCGAAACCAAGCTTTCCTGAAGTCCCTAATATTGAAGAAAAAGGGATGTGTGTCTTAACTACAACTAGAGCACGAAAGGGACATGGTCGTAGAGGAAGACAAAGAAGAGACTTTCAAAGAGACATTCTTCCTGGCCTAACATCACTTGCAAGGCACGAAGTAACTGAAGACCTCCAGATGTTTGGTGGTCTGATGAGAGCTACAGGTCATCCTTGGCAATCTGGGCCAAATAGGCGGAATGCTACTAGATCTGGGTGTGCAAGAGGCAGGCGACGGTCTGTCACAGCAGCCCCAGCACAAGCACCAGCACCAGCACCTGCACCTGCACCTTCAACAGCAAATGCAGTATGTGCCCTTCCATTGAAGCAGCAGCAGCAACATTTACAGAATAGTAATACAGAAGTGGTTTTGGAAGATAGAAGCCTGACGGGATGGGGAAAAACAACTAGACGTCCCAGAAGACAAAGGTGCCCTGCAGGTAATCCTGCATCTGCCCCTCCTCCCGTACCTTTGACCTAATTTATTGAATCGAGGCTCTGATTTCATGAATCGGGAAAAAAAATCTATAGAGGGAAACAAAACAAAAAAAGATGCTCGAGTAGAGTTGTTCGTTGAAGACCTTCGGAACTGAGCTTTTCCTTTCTCCTTTCTCCTCCTCTTTCTCTCTCTCTTTTTTTTTTTTTTTTTTTTTTTTTTTTAGTCACAAAAGGGGATTGTCTTTGTACATGTTCCTTAGCCCAAAATTTGGGTCCCCTTTTTGCAACCAACTTTGTATTGTTTCATGAATAATGTTGCATGGGGTTTCTTGTCCTTAGCTTATGCTTTTGTGCATGAGCTAATTTGAACTATAGTAGATCATGCACCTGTATTGTGTGCTTGTCTTCTTCATATCTTTCTGATGATTATTAACAAAGCCTTTTCTGCTCAAATCTAGGACATATATATTTTATATAATCATTTTTGAGTTTCATATACTTTTAAGATTTTGTCACAGATTTTCATAAATGTTATAGTCTCTTTTGTCCTAAAATAAGTTATATAAAAATGTTCATAAATGTCCTATGACTCAGTCTAAAAGTATGATCTTGAATGTGGCCATGTGCTACCGCATTTGTTGCGGGATTTCATCCTTTTATTTGGACCCTACTCACTCGGTTGGGATTTTGCTGTCTATTTAATGTAACAGCAGTGTTGATTTTGCCTGATATAGGAGTTTAATTAAATTGAAAAACTTGAATTTCAACTAAATTTAATTGGGACTAAAGTCTTTGAGTTGTTGTATAGTACTTAATTTGGAATAAACTCTATACATAAAGAATCGTGATTGTGTATCCTAAGATTTTTGACTTGGGTTTTAAAATCGCCGTTTTATTGGTGATTCTATAAATTGCATTGAAATGGATACGGAATTTAATATGGTTAGATATAGAATGGGAGTGCGGAGATATTAAAGTCGATTTTTTTTTTTTTTTTTATTTTTTTTATTGTGTATATACAAAATATATCCGTAATATTTACCAAAAGAAATACTCTTGTTGAACATCTTTGCCAAAAAATCTACTACTTCCAAAGTAAATTATTTGTTTTTATTTTATTTTATTTTTGTCCTGTAAAGAATTATTTGATCACAAGTATGTAGGAAAATAATAAAAGGAAAAATTATGGATACTTTTACAAAAGAACAAGCACCAAGTTTTGAGGCATCTCCTGACTTCAAGTGTATAAGGACCACCAAGAGAATCACAATCCATAAGTAAATTTAATAAATGAATTTTATTTAATCAATTTAAAAAAAAAAAAGTTTGAGTCATTATAGGTCACGAACCATCAACCTCACATAATAAATAATGCGAGTAATACTGAATTAATATACTTCTATCAGTTTCAATTTCTATACAATGTATCCAAAAATAGTTGCACTACTTTAACTTTTTGCACTATGAATTTACTAACGTTAACCCTTCTTTTAAGTGATATATAAAATCATAAAATTAATATAGAGTATAAATTTAATTGGATGTTTCTCATTATCTCAATGTCTAATTAAGAATATCATCTTTTAGAAAAATTTACAAATATACTCCCACAGTTTTCTATTGTTTGTCTCATTTGTGATGTTGAGAGATTCCAATGGAAATAAATCTAGTACTTTTATGATTTTCTATACTTCAAAAAAAAGTAATTTTTATAATTTTTTGAAGTATAGAAAAGTACATCATAAAAGTATGTAATTTAGGATCTTGAAAGATTTGTCTTATTTTTTACTTTTTAAGTATGTAATTTTTTATTTTTTATTTTTAACAATATTGTATTACTAACGTGAAAGTCAAAATGGTGCAACTATTTTTAAACATAAGAAGAAAGTTTTAACCATATAAATTAGGTTAATTAATACCTTCATCCCATTTACTAGGTCCATTTTACTTTTTGGACTGTCATAATTTACTTTCCCAAGTTAATTTTTAAGAATTTTTTTCACTCTGCTTTTTCTCGAGTTGTGTCCTGCATTCCTCCACGGACGGAGGGAGTGAAAAAAAATGCGGAGAAAACTTCTGTTTAGTGAAAATTAGATGAAAAAAACAAGCTCAAGAAAGAATTGAGATTTACGGTCTAATTAAAGTAAGAATGGGAAGAGGGTTTTCAATATGAGTACCATGGTCACTAAATTTTACTTCCTCTGTCATTCTAGTAATTCAATGGTCTGGATACTGCACAGAAACCTCACTCCACTAGCTAAAATTAAAATTCTCTTATATGATGAACTAGGTACTAGATGATCAAGGATAATAAGCGTTGGGCAAACCCCATTTGCATATAACACAGTTACATAATTACAATGTGGAGGAACTCTATATATTTTATGTCAGATACAGTATTTGGTAAACATCATTGAACAAAATTAGCTGTATTATATTCTGTATTCACCAGCTCAATTCCCCCAAAAATTCACTCTTTCACAGAGATCAACTTATAAAACCACAATCATCTTTGAAGAGAGAACACTTTGTTTCCTGCTAACAAATTTGTGCGTCATAGCCACTAAGCCATCTCAGTTTCTTGAAAGTTCAGTCTTTTTAGATGGCTTTGCCACAGCCCGCAGGTCCAGAATGCAAAACCTCACAATACTACAACATGGATTTTGTTGATATTCATAGGCAAGGAAGCTCCAGAGATGATCACCAGTGTTTTTTAATCTTTTACTCAGTGACACTGCAGATAATACCATCTTGACATCTTCTGTCTTGAGCGATTACCTAGTAGAAGATAATTGCAAGGAAGGAAGCTGGTTAAAACTTTCCATCTCTGAGGAGCTCCAACCAGGTGACTTGCTCAACCCTCTTTCCTTCATTAATTTTCTGATCTCATCTGCCTTGTCCCATCTTCCATCTGAAGCATACAACTTATACAAAAGCACATAGTAACAAGCTTCGTTAGGATGCATGTCTAACATTCTCCGTGCTGCAATCTCTCCCAGTTCAAACAGGGAATGAAGGCTACATCCATGAACAAATGCTCCTAGGACAGTGATATCTGGCCGAATAGGCATATTCTCCATGATGTCTGCAGCTTCCTCTAATTTTCCTGCACGAGCTAATATGTCTACCATACATGCATAATGTTTCATGGAGGGCACAAAGTTATGCTCCCGACAGATAGAAGTGAAATATTTCCATCCTTCACCGACATTTCCTGTGTGACTACATGCTGACAAAAGAACAGTAACATGGACATCATTCAGTTCCACATCTTCCTTTAACATATTGTTGAACAGTGTCACAGATTCCTCCCCATCACCATGCATTCCATAACCCCTAATCATAGAACTCCAAGTTACTTCATTCTTTACTCCCATCTCATCAAAAACCTTACGTGCACATATCACATCACCACATTTGGCATAAAAATTTAGAAGTGCCGTGCCAACATAGATGTTAACAGATGACAACCCTTCTCTGATTAATAAAGCATGTAAAGAAGAACCAACTTTAACAGCACTTATAGAAGCACAAGCAGAGATTCCGCTGACCAAAGTCACTGCATCTGGAGACATAGATTCTAAAGTCATTTGATGAAAGAGTCTAAGGGCTTCAATAGCATACCCATTTTGGGCGTAACCTGAAATTATTGAATTCCAAGCAATCACACTCTTGTTGTGTATTGAATCAAAGATATACCGAGAATCTCTCATCAGGTTGCATTTTGCATACATGTCAATGAGAGCATGTTTGACATCAACATCTTCTAAACCTTGCAAAGTTGCAAGGCAGTGAACCGACCTGCCCATACTCAGATCTCCAAGTTGAGAACAAGCTGAAAGTACACTAGCTATGGTCAAGGAATTAGGAAAAATTCTAGCTCGCCTCTTGTCTGCAAATAACTTAAGGGCCTCATTAGGCTGGCCCCATTGAGTGTGCCCAACTATCATAGCAGTCCAAGAGATTAGATCATCAGTAGAACAGAACTCATCAAATACAAAACGAGCATCATTAATGCTCCCACTTTTGACATACATATCTAGAAGCGCGGTAGCTAGAAAGGAATTCAGATTGATCCCAGCTTTGAGCATATACCCATGAAGCCACTTCCCTTGATGCAAAGCTCCCAACTTCGCACAACCTGTCAGTAAGCTCCCCAATGTAAACTGATTTGCATCAACAAGGCTTTCCCTCATCCTATTAAACAAAATCAAACCCTCTTCAGAACAATCATTCTGCACATACCCCGTGATTAACGAAGTCCACGAAACAACATTTCTATCCTCTATCTCTTCAAAAACTCCCCGAGCAGAATCAATCTCCCCACATTTAGCATACACATCCACCAGACTAGTAAGCACAAAACTATCAGGACTCCCTGCCTTGACAATATGGCAATGCACCTTCCTCCCCTCATTGACATCCCTCAACTCACAACAAGCCTTCAACACAATAGAGAAAACAATATCATCGGTCTCTCTGAGGCATTTCCTCAAACACCTGTAGCACATAATTGTTTCGAGATGCAATTCATTCAAAAAATACCATCTAATCATAACTTTGAACGAATAAAGATCTGGGTTAGGAATTTTATCGAACACCTTACGGGCAATCCTCAAATACCCAAATGAACCATACAAACTCACCAATTTAGTGAGGCAAAGAAGGTTATCAACTACACCATGAACAGTGAGTAAAGCATGAACTTTTTGGAGAGCAGAAAGATTTTTGCAGGTACCCAGCAGAAGGTAGGCTGGGTTTGAAGAAATGGAGAGCAATGAAGCTTTAGTTTGCTGGGAAGTGTGGTACTCCTTGGGAGGAGGATGGAGAAATGGGAAGGAAGAGAGAGAAATTGCCCGCCATTGATGAGGGTATTTGGTGATGAAAGCAGAAATTTGCTTCAGAAAATGGGGAGATAATTGATTCATGATGATTTGAAGAAGATGATTCTAATTTGGGGGATGAAATTGCTGTCGCCATTTTCTAATTGGGGCAGGTTTTGGTTGTTGGCATTGGCGGCAAATCGACTGTTGCCTGTTGGTTTGTTTAAGGCAACTAATACGAGAACGGCCATATAACTAAAGATGGTGCCTGGCCGTGCCTCATGCCGAGCCCACGGGTTTTGGGGCTAGCTAGGCGTGGTCTATGGCCCAGCTCACAAATTACTTGTTGTGCCGTCGAAATTGTCAAAAGTTTAGCTTATGCACGACTCAAAACCCAAGTCCACGTGTCACTATGTCGGTCAGATATGTCGTGCATGCGGCTTCACGTGTCTAAGTTAAATCTTATAGATTTTTTCTTGACGACAAAAAAATCGAGAAAAAATCTTATCGATTTTATTGTGGTAAGTCATGTTGTGCCTTATTGTATTTCTCCTAAATAAAAAACAGTCCGATACGCACAATAACATTTTGTATCATACCTAAACCGTGCCCATGTTGTGCCATGCTATTTTTGCGCTGGCAAAGTATCGGTGCCATCTTTACATAAAATTGGTATAATGAAGAGAGGTACATTCAGTTGATTATTTGCACAAATGAACACAATTAATTTTCTATAACTAATTAGTTTTGTATAACTAAGGGTCTAAGGTACTTTTTCATAAAAAAAAATAATAATAATAAAAAAAAAAGTAGGTGTGCCTTTTATTCACTTTGATTTTTCCATATTTGAACCTAAACAAATTTAAATACGGAGTTAAATTTACAAAAGTTGCTCAAACCATAACATCTCAAAGAAATTTTAAAGAATGATTCCCATTAAAGCTTATAGGTCGCTTATTATATGTGTAATCAGTTAGCAGTTTATTCAATGGTAGACATGTACAAAATTATCCGAGAATTCGAAAATTCGATAATTTGATCCGCAAGTAATCCGGATTTTTGGATATCTGATCCGAAAAATCTGATATCGGATGCAAATTTAGATATTGATTTTCAAAATTTCGGATATCCGAAATGTAAAAGGTGAAATAATGAAATATATATAAATTTTTTAAATTATTCATATAAAACTGACCCTATATTATTAACTTATTATAATATTCTTAATATATTTGATGATAATTTTTATTGCAAAAAATCTATTATTTTATTAAAATATGTTGTACTTAATATTAGATAATGAGTGAAATTTAGTGAAATTTAGAAATTAATCATAATCAATTTTACTTAATATTAGATAATGAGTATCTTTAGCATCTGATTCGAAAACTTTGGATATTTCGAATCGGATTTGGATATCAGTTTCTGATATCCGAGCATTCAGATATCCGATCCAAAATGCGATTTCGGATCGAATATATCCCATCCCTGAACAGGCAATGGTATACTTCATTAAGTGTCTTCTCCATGATCAGCCCTTTCTTCTCAAGTCTTTATCTTAATCACTTTTCCCATCAGAAGTTTACCTAACTTTCTTTATTCCACTCAAGCCTCACAAATTTACATTTTAATTTAGCCAAGTCCTTTTATATTTCCCTGCAAAATCTCAAATAATGTGAAAAACATTCAGTATAAAGTGTTGACATTCTCACCAACTAAAATACATTCAGTATAAGAGTTCATTGATCTCCCATGAGTCCATCTATATGTTTACAATTTTTATTGCACATTATTAATATCTTTATTTACAAAATATAAAATACATAAATATTTTACTAATTTAAATTGTGCATCGATATGAATCTAACAAGATTCAACATGAGTTTATTATTATTATTATTATTATTATTATTATTATTATTATTATTATTATTATTATTATTATATATATATATATATTTAATTCTCTTTGTTACTCTTGTGTTTTTTAATTTTCTCTTTGGTGAAATGCAAAAAAACTTATTTCTTTGGTAATCATGAATCATCAATAAAGATTATCCATGACATTAATTAATGATAAATTTTAATTAAATTTTTTAAACTAGGGTTGGTTTTTTTTAATTAAATTATTATTAAAATAATGTGAAAAAAACCACCACCAATACAGTCGCCGGCTCACCGCTTGCCCCCCAAGCCAGCCCGACTCCCTGCCCCCCCCGGTGCCGGCGCCTCCCTAAAACCCCAGCTAAACCATTCCTCCCATATTTTCTCTCTCCTCTTTCTCTTCCCTCATTCTTCATTGTGGTTGCTTTAAAGGGTCTTCTTCCTCCTCCATTAAAACAAACATCTCCCGCTGTTCCGCTGCCCGAACGCCCTCACAGTCATTTCTACTTTGCTAAATATTTTTAAAATTTGAGGAAATTATTAATTTCAAAGATTTTGAATCTTTGTCAATTCTTTCATGGAATTGAAATTCAACAGCTTGAAATTTGGTGGTTTTTAGATGAGAGAGAAAACTTGAATGAGAGAAAAAGACCCTCCAAGCTGTTTTCGCACCGATGAGTCACTCAGCCACCACTCACCTAAAACCACCCCTCCCATATTTTCAATTCTCTTTCAGGTAGAGTTTCGGGGGGAGGGAGGAGAGTTGGTGGTTCAGGGGGAGGGGGAGGCGTCGCTGTCAGGGGAGGTGGTGTCTGGGCGCGGTTGGCGCCGGGGGCAGGTGGCTGGGTTGGTTGTGGGTTCGTTTTTTATTACTTTTAAAAATAAGGCCAAATTAGAAAATAACACCTGCTAAAGACTCCGATTTTGTTTTTAACACCTGTTAAAAAAAAAGTTTTATTATAACACCTCCAAAAATCCCAAAATTTTGGTTTCACCACCCATTAACAGATTTTTGGATGGAAACCGTTAGTGGGGCCAGCATGTACACGTGTCAGTTGTTAATTAGTTTAAAAAAAAATTTTTAAAAAAAAACCTAACCCCCTAACTCAGCCAGCCACCGCACCGGCACCACCTGCGGCCAGCCACAAACGGTGGCCTTCTCCCCTGCCTACCCCATAACCAACCAACCACCAACCACCGACCACCAGCCATCGATTTTCGCCGCCGAACCACCTCTAACACCGGAAATCGGCTCCCCCACCCTTAACCCACCTCGAAAACCGCTATCATCCTTCACAAAGCCGCCAAAGTACGGTTCCCCTCCCCAACGCAACCCCTTAAATGGACCTCCTCCCTTCCCGCACCGCCGAAACCGGCGCCCCCTCCCTTCCCACACCACTGAAACCGGCTCCCCTTCCTTTCCCTCAACCCAGAAACCGACCTCTTCCCTTCCCACCTTCAAAAACGGTCCTAAGCTCCCGATGACTAAGGTTTCTGGGCTAGGTTGGGGTGGGGGAAGCAAGGGAGGTGTCGGAAATTGGTGATTGGCGCCGGAAATTGGGAATCAGGGTAGGAAATAGGGAAGGGGAAGGGAAGAGGCAACTGGCCGCAGGTGGTGCCGGTGCGGTGGCTGGCTCGGTTAGGGGGTTAGGTTTTTTTTTTTTTTTTTTTTTAAATTTTCTTTTTTTTAAGCCAATAAACAACTGACACGTGTACATGATGGCCCCCACTAACGATTTCCATCCAAAAATCCGTTAGTGGGTGGTGAAACCAAAATTTTGGGATTTTTGGAGGTGTTATAATAAAACTTTTTTTTTAACAGGTGTTAAAAACAAAATCGGGGTCTTTAGCAGGTGTTATTTTCTAATTTGGCCTAAAAATAATTTAATTATTAAACAAATAAAAAAACTAACCCTAGTTAAACATTTTAATGAAAATTTATCATTAATGTCATGATTAATTTTTATTAACAATTCAAGATTACCAAAGATGATAATTTTTTTTGCATTTCACCAAAGAGAAAATTAAAAAGTACAAGAGTATCAAAGAGAATTTTCTTTTTATTTTTTATACATCAATAAATATGATTGAAGTTGTGGCTTTAACTATGACATTCCAATATTAGTAGTAAAAGGAAATAAATGTAAGCAGATAGGATGAGACGACGCCCATTAATGTACGGAGTAGTTAAAAACCTTTCTATGTTACAAATTTACAATTAGATAAAAATATATACACTGAATAAAATGAAAATTTATTCTTAGCATCTTACTACATCAAGATATTTCTTGGATAGCTATACTAAACATAGAACAGAAAAAATCAAGCAGAGGAAAGAAAAGCTAAAGAGAAAGATGTGAAACTAGTATACAAGATTGATGATAAATTCTATCTCAAAAAAGAAAAAGAAAAAAAAAATTATAGTAAAATTTCAAACAAATTATGGTCCAGAGAAAAGAAAATAAAGAATACAGTCCCTAACTGCACAGACCACCAATCTCTAGCTTAAGGGCGTTGATACACATACTTCGTTCTGGGATCTACAATAAGACCCTTTCCTCCGTTCACTTCCAGATCATGCCTGCTTAACCCATCATCATTAATACATAAAAACTTACGTGATTCATACAAAGAAAAGACATAATCATGTGGCATCTTGTTAAATTTGTTTTAATGCGTATTTTCATAATATGAAACTAATGATAATTATGGTCAAGGTGCAAATTGGAGACTGCAAGATACAAATGAGCGTATGTTCAAAGAACAGCGGGGGTGATGTAACACTAGAGGAAAAGAAAGTGTATACTCAACTGGAATACAAAATCAGGGATGGTTAACTGCTCACGAGGGACATATCTGAACAGCTGTAGTAGTCGATCAACATATACAACTTTCTTCCAGACCTAAACAATAATTTTAATGCATTGTAAAGAATGAAAAACTTGGTGGCCGGGAAGTGAGAAAAAACAACACATCAAAAAAAAGATAAAATATGATAGATGCATACCATATTATCCACAAACATTTGTAAGGCAAAAATGGCCGCTTTCAATCCAAATGTTGGATGTAGTATATATATTGCCTATATCAAACAAATCAAACCATAAGTCCTAAAATTGATCTCTTTTTTGTTAGGTAAGGCAATAGATTATCTTGTAAGATTGAAGTCATCCAGTAGCATACATGCAGATTTCGTTGGTGTTTGCGGCCAAGAATTTGCTGTAATCTTCTCATCCACCCTAAGTCCGGTTGACTGTAGACCCAGAAGAGCAGATATTAAAAATTGGGACATAAATTGAATATTGTTATACATGCGAAATACAAAATATATAACAAGCTTAGAAATGTTCAATTTCACACATGTGAACACACAACATCAATGACACATAAAAAGTAAACAGCATCACATACAAACTTTAAAGAGACAGTCCTTACGGCTGTAAAGAGGCAGCAGAGTGGAAGTAGACAATAGAATACGGCTTCTGACCTATAGGCTCGAATTCCTAAGAAACAATCATGAGTGTATGTTATTATAAGAAACCACAATCTCATTACGTCCACATCAAGAAGAAAAATCATCAAAGTAAAAAGTACTTTACCTTCACTACATACATGATAAAACGCTCAAGATCAAGGCACCGCAACAAGAAATGAGCTCCAACAACTACCATAACTGGACGTCCTTCACTGTCAATCCCACCACGATATCTGAAGAAAACCAGTAGCATAACTTAAATTAAGTGGATTCCTAATATACCGAGGTCTGATAAATATACCTTCAGTTTAAGTCAGCAAAAAATCAAGACCGAAGTAGAAAATTTTCTCTAATATATTTTTTCCCCAAGAAAGGCTGAGCAAATAGCAGCAGTTGTTGAGGGTGGGGAGAGGCACAGTAATGCTTACACAATTTTCATTTCTGCAATCTCAGAAAGATTAGTAGAATTAGCTTTGGCGAGGTATCTTGAATGGAGAGAATATTCTTCAGCAGCAGATAGTGGAGGGCCACCAAGGTTTCCATATCCAAGCATTTTCGCACAATTCCATCCACTTTGAGCTTGAGCAGCCTTTTCCCACTGCTCCTTTCGTCTTTGATCTGGATCCTTAATTAGTGACATAAATGCAGGATCCAAATAAGTGTCCAAATAGGAGGGATTCCTGTCAGGTTGTGTAAAAAAATTTAATTAGGCCCAATATGTTGATTCATAGAACCCAAAATTAAGACCTTCGAAATTTCACGGACAAGTCATGGAATTTCCACGCCAGATGTGTGTCACAGGCATGAACAGCCTCCAGTTGCAAGGAAAAAAAAAGGGAGGGGGGGGGGGGGAAAGCAAAACATGCACGGTTAATCGGTTATGCACTTATGCGGCTGAAGACTTTGACATCTCTATTCATGAACATGAAAATGCCAATTAGGGAGCTCAAATGTAGCTATGCAAGGACAAATTTAGTTTGTGCAAGGGTAAAATCAGACATTTCTGGCAGGAGATTGAGGTGTTAATCTGTATGTATTTTTAACAACTGATCATTGTTGATGGCTTGATGCTAAGATTACACAAAGTGTGAAAGAGGACAAGATGTCCTCAGACATCAGAAATGTTTTTCTGATTAACCCAGTTCCTTTGAATTTCCCCAACAAAATACTGTGAAAAGCTCAAAACTTGAAGAGCTGCCACCTTGGCCCACAAAGATGCCTAGTAAACACCACAAAATAGCCATAACGCATTCTGACATAACATCTCCTTGGCCTTTTCAAAAGCCACAGAAAAAATCTGCAGCAACTCCGAATAGTATAAAGGAAAACCCAGGACTTCCCGCACTCATCAAAAAGCCTCCTCAGAGTATTAAATGCCATCTCATAATGAAGGAAGACATGCATGCAAGACCTTCTATAGGCACGACATATCATGACATAAACAGTAAATAGCCATCCTTGGTCTATCATTCGGATCACATCATTAAGTTAACTCCACCCAATGTTACATAAAGGCTCTCATCTTAAGAGGAACCCTGGCCTTCCAAAAGTTCCAAATAAAATTAGATGGAGTAATTCCATAGAACTTTTTTCAGAAGCATCACCCACCCACTACCTAAGATCCTCCACTCATAATAGAGTAGATAGAAACTCAAAAAATTAAGGTGAGCTCATCTATCACATGTCAGGAGGATGCCTAAGTTCCCCATACACTACTAACATGCAAAGCAGAGACAGAAGAGCCATGAAATGTAAGAAACATTATACAATTGATGGAAAATGAAAACCAAAACTGCCACCCCTCCTCAAACATCCTCCCAGAATTAATGCAGTGACGGATCCCAAATCTTTAACAGCATAATGTTCTAATTACTCTCCTGTTTATGTTTAATATGCTTTAGATTTCATAACTGCAGTCGGTGTACAAATCCTTTGGTCCATCACTCTGTTAAACAGAATCAAGAACCAACTGATAAGAGAACCAAAGCTGAACAACCATATATTCAATACAAGTTTATAGATTGCCACCACCATCAGCACATTCCAATCCACTGCAGCTTTTCACACCACAGAATTCAACATATAAGATAACAAAGTAGCAACTACACCATAGAGTCTAGCTTTCTTTTAGATTTGTTTAGAATTACAAATTTCTGCCAGCTAGTTATCTACTCTCAGCTAAAAATGACAAAACACAAATATATACCTTCTTCCCTTAAAATTTCAACATAACGTATCTTTTCCACAATTTTCCATCAATGTCAAATTTCTCAAATTAACAAAGGAAAAGGCATACACACTTTCAATACTTTGATCAATAAATGATGTTCGAGACTTAGAGGACAAAAGCAACATTTTTACTATTACATGGAACAGGTAAGTTGGTGGTCTACTGAGGCTCTATGAGCAAACTGAAGGAGTACATGAAGCAAGTGAGTGATGTGACCATGGTAAACGCTTAAAAAGCATAAAGCTAAATGCCACTTGGCATGTATGGTCAACATTAAAATCACATTAAGAGTCGGAAAAAAGTTTCTCAATCAGATTGTCCAACTAACATCCATGCCATATAACTCCACCCCATAAAGATTGTTTAACTTTCCATTTAGTAATAACCTGTTTGATTGTCCTATATTTAATAAGTAAATCATAAATGCACATTCAACAAAATGTTTTTATCTAAGCTGTTAAGCTTATATACCATTGATCAAATGCTACAGTTAAAAGGGATAACATATTTTGATATAGGTAAAATATCTATATCCCAACCAGTTTGAGACAGATGGGTTACAAACGAAATACTATCATTGAACATTGAATAGAAATACTACAGTAAGAACTGGTGCTTCCAAATGATTTATTCATGCACTGTAGTAAAAATAAAATTCAATACGTAAACAAATGGTAGGCTAATAAAACATAGACTTTAGAGAAACTAACCTTCTAGCCAATCCAACTTCACTTAGAGGAAGGTCATTTGAGACTTGAGAAGGTTTGGGCTCTGTTTTCTTAGCATTTGGAAGTGGCTTTATTCTGATTTTACGCTCATCTATAACAGTTTCACCATTCTCGTCCCCAACATCAGCAGGAAGTTTTGATATAGCAACCTCTTCTTCATGTTTATCACGAGGAAAGTAGAGTGGAAGTAGTCTAAACATAAAGAGCACATGGAAATAATTCACATATAAGAATATAAACAGCAGAAATCAATTAGAAGCATCCAGTGTTTAAGTTGACTTGTATTTGTATTAATAAAAAAAATAAAGGGTTATGAACAGAAGCGCTTTACCTTTTATATATCTCAGTGTCAGTTGATGTGGTAGTGCAAAACACTATGGCAGTAATTTTGTCCTTCTGTTTCTCGAGAAATCGTCTAACAGTCCCTATTAAATAAAAGCAGAACTACTCAGAAATATGTTGACCATTTTTCTTACACAACTGGCAATAAGAGAAACTATCCACTTAAAATACCAGTCCAAAATGAAATGTCAAGTACCCACACCCATGTCGGAGTGTCGAGAATATGACAAGGGTACTAGAAGTGAAATGAAGAGTCCAACTGTCATAGAACCCATAAGGAGGTTGGAAGGTCAAGAGCTACTCAGCTTGACATATAACAAGATTAAGAGCACCAATCCCATAGATGTGAGCAACGGTTAGGCACATTAGCGAACACATTATTTGCCTCTTTGTGTGAAGGCCTTACATAGTTCTACATGTCTAGTAGTTATATTTTCTAAGGAAGCCACTAAAACAAAGGTACTAGTCTACATAAGTCAAAGTGACATTTAACACTATAAGGAGGTTGGAAGATCAAGCTACTCATCTTCACATACAACAAAATTATTAGAACACCAATCCCATAAAAGTGAGCAATGATAAGGCAAAAAAAAAAAAAATGTTTGTCTCTTAGTCTGAAGGTCTTATATAGTTCCATTTTTTTTTAGCAGTATTACATTTTCAAAGGAGCCCATCAAGGAAGTCACTTTTTCTAAAAGGAAAGAAAATAGATTTTAAAACATCTTACTTATGGCCACATGTGCTGCAGGTTCACGAGGATAGTTTTTTGACTCTGTATAAATACAACCCATTGCTATGCTGCACAAGAAAAAACATCAAATTTATACAACAGAGAACAAATACCACAGGAGTAAATAAAAACAAGTATACACTCCTAAACCTTCGAAGCCCATTTTCTATAAGCAGCTCAAGGCATGACCGATAGCAATGGCTAAGAGCATTCTCTGCGGCAGTGTGATATTTGACTGCATACTTAGGGCCAACAGTATGAATAACCTTCCTAAGAAAATAAATGGACACAAGTCAGTCTAATACAAAGGAAATAAAGCATCAGTTGAGGGGATGACAATTGATTAAAAACAATAAATAAATAAATAAAAAGGTCCTAGAGTCAACAGATAAAAATGCTCCGACATGTCTAGAATCAAGAATTCATGAATATAGAGCTTCCAAATAAAACATCTTCATATTCTTTTGGTCTTTACTTTTCTTTCCTAGACTAGATGAGTAATGCAACCTAATTAAACAATTACCTAAATAAGAATTGAATAATATGTTACAGCCTTGATCTACCAATTGCATACATTTAAGCATGACATATATTAGGCTCAATTAGAGTAAAAATCAATTTCAATAGAACGATGAACAGATGGACTGAAACATTCAATAAATAAAAACAGAATTATATTTAGTGCTTGAAAAACTGCTCTGAGATTCCAGGGCAATGGAAAGTATTGCTTCTAAACCTTGTTAATCATGAAACAAGATTTATCAGAAATATCACTTTAAAATATTTATGTTAAACATACCTAGCTGGAAGCTCATGAGCACTTGTCATCTTTGCCATCCCAGTTCTGCACCCACCCTGCCAAAGACAATGCCATATTAAATTTCAACTCTGCCCTTTATAAATTCCCAACCAAGTAAATGGGTAGCTAAACCAATGAGATTGGTAGCAGACCATTGGGTAATATCAACCACAGTAAAAGAAAGATCAAACAATGAACATTAAAAAGAATACCCCTCCATTCTAATTTACACAGTAAAAGTTAAGTTTCTAGCTTATTATTTGAATATAACCTCATATTTTTTTTATGTAAACATTTTATTTTGAGACAAATTTATAGTCTAAGTTTGATCTGCTAAAATACTAGGAAATTAAGGGAGCATGTAAATGAAGCCAAAGGTAATGAGATTCTACATTAAATTGACGCCTATATCAAATGAAAGAGAAACTTGGAGAGTGGAAAGGCCTACCAGTGTAGCACATTCTTCAGCCAGGCCAGGACCAGCAGCAGCATGTAAACCAGGACTGCTATGTGCTTCATCCATATTCTGTCCAGAAGAATTGCATTGTGATCAATAATCATCAGGCCAATTTTGTAAAAACAATACAGGTAAAAAGTGTTCATACATAGGTTCACCTCTAGAGCAATTTTGACTTTTTTAGCTAAAACAGTAATCCCTTTATAATCTAGACTTTTGATTAGCACCTTGAAAGATAACATACACAATCAAAAGCAGCGAAGTGACTTAAACCACGAGTGACCCCATTGCATTCTACTGCACGCTCAAGTATTTAAATAAACAATGCAGCCTCATTTGTACACCACGATCATATTCCAGGCCCAGTTGTAATTGTAATTATCAATATAATTAATTAAGACATCTTACTGGCGCCAACAAAGAGATCATAATGAAGTAAATCATGTCATTATAGACTGCGCAGAAATTTATGCATGTAATACAGGCAAAGAGAAACACATCAAAAGTGTGATAGTAAGTTACCTCGTTCGTGGAGTTAACAACAGCATCTACTTCAATATTCCAAGGATTTCCCCTCCATAGATAAACCTTCGAGTTTATCTCATGGTCAACAGGAAATCTAGACACCATCCCATTACTTCCATTCTCTGATGTAGAAGCTGATGCAAGAGGATCAGGGAAATGAGAACTAGGAAAATTCGAGTCATCACCTTTGTGTTCTGAAGACCAACGAACCTCAGTATCGCTCCACCGAGGAACTTGATCCAAAGTCACAACAGAATCTCCAGTATCAGCTGGTGACCCGTCCCTAGTGGGTTCAGTAGGCATTGATCTATACATGTTTCCCCAATTACTCAACAAAGCTTCCTGGGCTCCTCTACCTCAACCCTCATAAACTAACACCTCATTTTCCTGCCCACCAAATACATAATCATGAAAAGGGTTTCTTCAGCATTGCAGAAACAACAATTCAACTTCCATGAAAAGGATTTATTTGAGCAATGACCCAATACAGATCCATAATTCAACAGCACATAAACAATTAATTTCACATATTTAAATTAAATCTAGACTTGGAACAAAAACAAAACCCAAATAAGAATGATTAAATAATCGATTGCAGAAAATATTGTGTCAGCAATTAGAATCAAAGTACACCAAAACATCCCCAAAAACCACAGAAAAAACCCAAATTAAAAATAGAAAGAAGGAGAATCAAAATTAAACATGGGGGGATATTATCAGTAAGATTAACACTTTTTGCAACCATATAACCTGAAAATTGTTATGATTAAGAAAGAATTGAAAATAACGAAGTAAAGTGATGAAAAATTAACAAGTTCATAATAAAAAGAAGTGGGTAGAACAGAAAAATACCTGGAGAGAGAAAGAGAGAGATGGAGATAGAGGAAGAAAGGTGGGCGAATGAGTTTGGAGAATTATCGATGAGCTTGAAAGGATCAACTTGTACCAGAACCCGACATATGATTGAAGACGTCTTTTTTTCCTTTCTTTTTTCGTTGCAATTATTCTGGGTATTTTGACTTGGATATTGGCTTATTCCATTTGTTTTTCTTTTTGTTTGCCAGCCTAGCTTCTTTAGCCTCGTAGGAGGATCAAATAGCATCGCATCACAAAGGTTGAGTGTTCGATTCTCTATCACTTAGGTATTGTGGTACTTAATGGAAGATCTTGTCGAAAATGTAGAAAGACTGGGATTTGAATCTCTAACCTTTCACTCAAAGCTAATCATAAAATAGGGATATTTAAGTTTAATAATTAATTAATCAAAATTAATTACAGGGGCCGGGTCTCAGGTCCTCGTCCAGTGGTACTGTGTTGGGGTAGACTGCGTTCTTCTATATTGTTTACTAACAAGACTTTTACATTACTTCATGAAATATTGAAGTATTCATGAGCCTTTGGTTTAAAACTTTATAATATAAGCAAGATTTAAAGAGTTACATGATGGCTTATAATACAATGTTCATTCTATAACTATTTCTCTCGTATACTTCCTTTATGTGTAGAATGTGAGAAGGTGTAATTTGATATCCATGTCGAAAGTGTGTATGATTGAAATCCTAAAACTTATACGAGTAACAAGTTAATCATTAGTGAGTAATGAATAGTGACCCTCTTAGAATTTCCTTCAAGATACACCCAACTATGTTGTATACTTGTATGTGTTTTGATCTTCAATTTTGGAGTTTGCTTCCTCCCTGATTTTTGGTTGCAATTTTTAGGTTTTCCTAACCATGAGTAAAAGTCACCTTAGTTGCCCCAAAATTGAAAGAGTCTATGATACTCACTCTTGATTCTACACATCAAGTTTTATCACTGATACCTACCTCTCAAAACATCTAGTATTGAGTTAAATGGTTCCCTCATAATGTAACTACATGCATATAAATATATACTTCATAATAATTAACATTAGAATAGCGTTAAAGTCAAATGTCTAAATGCCTATATTAATTAATGGTTTTTTAAAACATTTTTTCACGGTAAGTTGATAATATGGTATTTTCTTCATAGGACCTATTACGCCTATTATTTTCTTTATATAATACTAGAGATACTCTATAAAAATTATATGTATGTAGTATAAGTTATAACAGAGTAATTTTTATAAGAACACTTCCATGAAAATTAGATTCAAATGAGATCAAACAAGAGTAAAACTTTAACATTTTGTGTACATGGATCATGACTAGCTAATTAACGGCTTACAAAAAGAACTTTTTTTTTCTCTTAAAAAAAAAAAAAATCAATCATTTGGTGCCAATCTTCTGCTTGAGCGTTTCTATGAAAGTATCTCTTTCCTCTGCTGTCATTCCTTCGGTAGAGCAATCTCCAACTCCCCACTCTGCTCCTCGTAAGCAATACTTGTCCAATATTTCTTGCTTGTTCCTGTCAATTTTACCATAACCAAACTAATTAAATACTACGCCTTCGTCTCAGATTCAGTTGTCACATTATGGATGCAAATTATTACATGCTATCAACGTGACAATTAATTTTGAACAAGCAGACTGGCAGAGTGATTTCAAACACATTACAAAAATTTCCTAGCAGTATAAAAATGATGTTATTAAGTGCATCAAATAATACTGTAACTTTGAACTTTGTAATGGGTATAAGAAATTTACTTCTCCTTATTCTTTTTGGATCGCTCAAGTAGCTCTTTGATGATAGGGGATGACTTGATTCTCTCATCATTTTCAGCGTACTTTTTTTGGTTCTCTTCTGCAGGTATCATCAAAGTAATCAAACAACACAATGTATAAACATTAGGACTTAAGCTTATACTGGTACTCCGTACTTTGTATCACAGTTAGTTGTCACGTTGTTAGTTCAAATTACACTGTTAACACATGACATGAGGATAATATCCGGAGTAAGGTAGTACGAGTTTATGGACTACATACCATTAAAGCGATCTAGGAATTCAATATTAGGAAGTTCAGGACCTGGAATAGATTCAATTCCAGTAGAGCCAGACAAAAACCCTGCTTGAGCTACATAATTTCACCCAAAAAGAAAAAATCAGTAAAATCCAAAATTCAGCAAATAATAAAAATGTAGAAAATTAGAAATGAGATTACCTGGAGTTGACCAGCAAAGGACTAATGAAATAGCTAAAGGTACACAATATTTTTGGGTGAGTTTAGCAGAAGGAGGACTGTTAACATGATTGGAAACTAAGCTTTTTTGAGATTTAATTTGGGAAATGAAAATTGTAGATTGGAATTTCTTTGGGTATTGATTAAAAAGAGGAAATTGAAGAGAAGAGCCATGAAAGGAGGAGTGTAAAGATGAAGAAATCATTGGAAAGTAGGGGTGTTTCTCACCTTCTTTCTTCTTCCTTTCAACTCCCTCTCTTGCAAGAGAGTAGAGAAAAGATAACAAGAGAACAAAAATAAACGGTTGGCATTAGTTTTGAACTTTTGATTATCTCACGGCTCTCACCTTTTCAAAGGCCTAAACTACTCCGTATTAGAGTATTACGTCCGTACTCCGTACTCCGTATTTTTTTATGGGGTGCCCCTTGATACTACTTGGTAAATTTTCTCTCCCTCTTTATTAACCCTACTTGCAACCCTATGTGCACAATTTTATCTCACATCTTAATAATGAACTTTGCTCTGTATATGGAATGCTAAAAAAGGGGCGAGCTATATATATATCTCTTTTTGTTGATTGTCAATTTTTTGTAAAAAAAAAATGTTTACTTTATCTCTCTCTTTGTCATATTGTCTCGTATTTTTATTTAATCTCTCTTCATCTATGGAGTATCTTTCTTCATGTGTTTTTTCTAAAATGTATGCTACTTCCTCGTGAATCATTTAATATAGGATGAAGCTAGGAATTATGTAGGATACTAGGATGCAAATGATTTATCATTGGAGATCCAATCATTCAAGACTTAATATCTTCAATAAGGGAATCCAATTTAATAATCAAGTTGGAGGAATGATTTCCCTAGATAATACATAATAGGAAGTATTAAAAGGGTGTTTGGTATGTGGGATTATAAGGTGGGAATAGGATTATTAATCCCAAGTCTCCATAAACCCATGTCTATTTGATGGGAATCAAGGGAGTGGGAATAAGCTTGGGAATATTTACCCTCTATTCCCACCATTTTATTACCTACTCCTCTAGGTAATAAAATGGTGGGAATTCTCTAGCTAAGTAAAAGACATGATTGCCCTCAACTTAATAATGCATATTAATTTTGAGCCCTTGAAATTCAAAACAATATGGATAAAATAGTAAATTTGTCCTTTAATCCTAATTTTATTCCCACTTATATGCCAAAGAAGAGATTGGGAATATTTGATATATTCCCATTCCCACTTTCACTTTATATTCCCCAAATTTCCATTCCCGCATGCCAAACGCTCCGTAAAAGATTTCAAATTCATCAAACTATCTCTTTTACAATCTCATACCGTCCAAATTAACAAGTTAATCATTATTAAATAAGTCTGCGATAATTCGTTGAGGCATCTAGCGATTTATTATGCTAGTTGGTCTTTCTTAATTTAATAAACCTCTAATTCAATTAACAGTTTATGAATGCCTATTCACCTACTAATCTACTATGACTGAAGTTTATGCACTATTCACCTACTAATTGAGTTAATGATTATTTCCTTCATATAACATCAATTATAGTGACCCTTCTACTCCGATTGGGGAGAAAAAGTCATTCGACAAGGAGATTATAATAATGTGGAATCTTGGTTCAATCAAGTGTTCAATGAGTGGATTCATGATTTATAATAACACTTACAAAGAAGTGTTTACTTGGACTATATTTCAAAACTACTTGACTGACACCACCGCAAATGTTCACCTCTCAAATTCAAGTGAAAACTTGGTTTACTCCCTTCTATATAGCCTAGGTTTTAGCGCAATCAGCTGATAGAAGTGAGGCATGACTCATTGAGATGATTGTAATGTGTACAAGTAATAACAAAAATGTTACTCCGTAAATGATGTCAAAGTTCAGCTGATTACAAAATTGGAAGTCTAACAAGTATTAAGACTGCCTTTGGATTTCCAACACCATTAACATCAGTGTATAGGCTCAACAAGGAAGATATGGACGCATGACCTAAAGCATGCCAAAACCACTTAGGAGGGAGTTTCCCTTGGTCAAGTTTGAAACCACATCATCTTTTGGTTTAGCCTTCCATCATGGCTTTTGCAACATCAATAATAGCATCCCTAAGATCCTTTGGAGCGCGACCTAAGACTGTATAACCTTCTTTGTCTTCAATATCCACATCTGCTCCATGTCTTACTAGAAGTAGTGCAACCTGTCACCAAATCAATTCCAGAAATCAGATTATGAAGCCAAGTTCCTCACAACAAGTGAGGTATATACTGCTGATAGCAATGAAGTGCTGTTTTTGAAACCGGTAAATGCAGTTAAAAAGTTAATAGTGTGATAACAAGAACAGAGTTTTAGGCGGGCAATAGCGGAAAGAAAATTATCAAGGTGATTTGCTGCAATTTTGAATGATATCAAAGACTAAAAAAGAATAGAGTTCATATTGGTCACATTGTCAAAAACTTAATTGGAGACTGGACAGTGGCAGTAAATCTTATTCTAGAATAGAATCAACTTCCTCTGTTCAATATTGGTTGGTACATATACTAGCCATTCAGATTCTAATATATAGGGTATACGATATCCTAAATCCTAATATGCCCTTAATTCAAGTTATGGGGAGAAGAAAAAAATTACACAGTTATTATATAGGGTGCATTTGAAAATTATATAACAACATGAAATGAGAGGGGTGGACAATGTAACAACAAATTCTTATTGGAATATGTTTGCTGTCAATCATCTAAGAAATCTTAATCACAAGAGCAGCGACAGGGCCAATTTTCAAAAGTTTCAACAGAACAAGATGAAAACCACCAAACTTAACCCTCTTTAAATTTTCATTCATTAGTGATATTTTGAAGGGAAGACTCAAGAAAGAATATGGAAAGAAAAAGAATTGCATAGCTAAGGCTGGTAAGAAGACATCACAAAGATGCAGTCAACTAAAAATTACCTGTCTGTCTTCACAAATGACAGCAGTCATTAGAGGAGTTTGATCAGCTCTGTCAAGGGCATCAATCTCAGCTCCTTCTTCAATGAGGAGTTCACACAACTCTGAGTTCCCTGTGCTAGCTGCACGATGCAGTGGTGTGCATCCAACCTAAAACAAACACTTGAGTATTAGCCACAATGTGCAACACGAGTACATAGATCAAAAGGTACAATAACATTAAAAAAAAATAAAAAAAAATAAAAAAATAAAAAGTTTATTTTCTCTATAAAAAGTTATTTTGACAAGTAATGAACCTTGTCCTTAGCATTGATGTTTGCACCATGGGCAAGCAGCAACTCAGCAACCTTCACCCATCCCTTGCTAGCAGCATAGTGAAGAGCAGTTCGACCACCATCATTTTTCAAGTTAACATCAGCTCCTGTCCACAGGGGTGGAGCCAGGAAATTTTATTAGGGGGGTCAAAACCATGTATTATATACCCATATATCATGCTGTAAATTAAATCACTAGAATGACTAGATTCTCAAATTATTAATTCGACTAATTTTTGTGTGTTTATAAAATAACTAAAAATTTATAATTATTTTATACGAAAGGCCCCATTTTAATCACCTTATTTCCACTTTTTTCAAGGAAAACAAGTTCAAATAAGTTTTGATAAGGATTATCCATGTTTAATTTATAGCTAAATAAAGTTTTGATAATTTCAGGTAAGAAGTAAAAATCTAGGTATACAAAACACACCCTGAAAAAAAAAATAGAAAAAAAATCTCATCTCTACCCAATAATGTAAATGTTTAAATTTACAGAAAATGACAATTTTAGAGTTTAGACCAATTTCAACCCCAAGTCAGGTTCCATACTAAAACATTCCATCCCAAAACTGATAAGCATTGGGCAGAGTAGCTCCTAGAGCTTATAAGGTTATAAATATATTTCTATTTCTCCGGCTCACATATGAATAACATGAGGAACAACACTCCCCCTCACACGTACAGGTCCTAAGAACTAAAAAAGATAAAATCACCAAAGTTGTGCCTTTTGGATATATTCAAACACTAAAGGGGTTTAAATCACTCAATCTACTGACAAACCAACGTTTTGCCTTCAGAGATGTTACGTTCCATTAAAACATCTAACCTCACAGATTGTTTTAACCTAACCAATGCCTACCAGCATCCCTAGCTTGTCATTTCATCATATTTCTTTCCTAGTCATACATCAGTGCGACAGTGCCCCTAATTTTCCAATAAAAAGAATAACAAAGACCTCACTGTACTTCAATGTTGGCTCCAAATTATGGACCCATTTACTCCTCATGGGAAAACCTAATCATGACTGACCTACAACCTAAGTTTGCTGCATTTCTGTCATAGGTAAAACCCCCTGGTTCCTTGTTTCAACTCTAGGATGTTATGAGTAGGCCTTGACCACTTCGACTTCACTTCCTATGCCTTGAACAGAGGCCGGTTTACTCCTAGCATTCAGCATCTATCAATTCGATCACCGACACGAAAACTTGTCATACCCTCTATTACTGACACACAAACAAACAAGAAGATGACGAAGGAAAGTTAGTATATAATTTACTCTTACTGCCCACTTACAACCTCTGCATTTTCCTACAAGCTGATCCTATTAGCAAGAGATTTGAAACCAACGGCAGTTTAAACTTCTTTTCATTTCGCTCATTAACAATCCTCATTTTTCCAATTGTATAAACTATAAACCTATTGCTACCTTTTAATTTTCTTATGATAGACTGAGGACATAGGAACAAGGGAAACTAAAACCACTCTCTCACCTATTGCATCACTCCATGAACTTCCTCTTAAAGTAGTACCATACTACTGACACAGCACATCAACACCCGTAGCCTTTTAATAGTTTCTTAAGAGGCTTTTCAACTCTATGACAATGCCGTCGATACTTGAGCATTTAAAGGTGTCGTCCAGAGACCTAGGAGTCTAGGACATATCAGTACACTATATTAGATAACTAAATTAACTCAAAGCCTACTTGACAATATAATTGCAAGATTATATCAAGTGTAAATATATATGAGTGTCAATTTGTAGATATTAATATAATATACGGATTACGGAATAGTAATTAGGAAAACATTTTAACTTAATAAAGTTAGAAAGGAGTGTAAAATTAGCTCTATTACTTCAAAACATAAAAAGTAAAGAGATGGAATCAAGGGATCACACCACAAACAGTGGTCAATTACAAAATCATTAAGTTAAGAACCAAAGAATATGATTTTCTACAAGAAATCACTTCATCCACTAAAGTTGCTTCATTTTTTATAAGCACACTAATGTTGCTTTTGTTTTGACAGAAAACATTTTATAACAATTTTCTCAAAAGTGAAAAATAGTTTTCCTAAATGATTGCCACATTTTTCTTACTATTAGTATCCCTTTCCTCTCCTCCCATTATCTCCTCTCTTCCACTCACATTTTCCCCCTTCATCTACAATATATTTTGTAAAGAAACAAATGACAACTACTCTATATTTATATTTTCCATGCAAAAAATGATTGTCTGCCAAAACAATGGGGCTTAAAGTATCACATTTCATTTCATTTCATGCACTCAGTCCACTATCATCATTTGAACCCAAACTTATCATCAGACCGCACCAAAATCAATAATAACAATACAACAATACAAGTATACACCAACACCAATGTTGGCGATATGCATCTTTCCTGTCAAACAAAAATGTGTCTTACTTAATACCAACTTATATAACCAGAAACATTCAGATTTCATGCATCCCAAACACAACGTGCCTCTGCCCACGAGTTAAACATACTACTACAAATGCTTGTTCACATATAATCACCACAAGATAATCACAATCCAAATATAAGTACTTGTATATTTGTTATGAACTACTACATATACGGAGTATTTCAAATTATAAACTAATCTAAAAGTTCAACAACCGATTCATTAAGCCCCTAATTCCTCAATCAACCCAAAACCCCAGCTAAAATTTGAAGCGTAAATGACAAGAATCCTAAAATAAAATAAAATCCCAGGTTAATTCCACTTAATTTACAAAGGAAATCACAAACCTTTAGTAAGGAGAATTCGGAGAATGTCAAGATTTCCAATACTAGAAGCAGAATGAATTGGGGCCCACCCTTCTTCATCCTTGTTATTAATCACTTTCCCAGTTGAATCAGCTTCTGCTAGAATTTCAACCACCTAAGTAATACCCAGAAAAATTGAATTGATTTAAACCAGAAAAAACCCTAACGATACAAATTAAAATAAAAAAATTAAATAAAATTGAAGAATGCAACCTTGGAGTGAGCAGAGGAAGTGGCGACGTGGAGGAGCGAGCGACCGTCGTCGTTTTGAAGAGAGAGAAATTTGGAAAGTTGGGTTTTCGAGAGAGAGTTGAAGAGAGAAGCGTCGCCGGATTCGGCGGCTTTGAAGAGTTGGGTTGAGGTGATTTCTGTGTCATTTGAAGCGTCTGTCTCCATCTCCATTTTCAGTAGAAGATCACTACTTTTCAGTATTTCCTCTTTTTTTTGTATTTTTGGTATTGTACAATGTAGAATGTGGACAGAGAAACTCAAATTAACTCGTCAAGTACCCCATTAGGCCTCAAATTCTTATTGAGTTTTTTACATAGTGACCCATGTAAAAACGACTTTTTAAAGTTAACCTCTTGTTAAGGACTTCCATTAGTTTATATTTTAACCTATTTTGCCGCCTTTTTCTATTGCGGTGAGAAATTTTACTCCAAAATTAACACGGTTCTTCTCCTCTTTGTTTTATAAACTCGTGATGAAAATTTTGTTTTAATCCCTCGAGCCTTTGTCTTCTTACTAGATTAAAGAACCATGCAATACAAAAGGATACATGGGAAAGAAGACAGATCTTGAGAAATTCATTTTAAAGACGGAGTGGTAATATAAGAATTGAATTGATTTAGATATTCATTATTGAACGACCTATTTGTCACACATAGCAGTGTTATAGAGTATAAACATTACTTACATTATTACATTATTAAAAATAGGCAATATAACAAGAGAAACTTATACCTTTAGCAATTGACCGTATAAATATTGAATAACAATAATATTGAAGAACAAGATATTCCCCAAAGGGGTGACCTGAGAACACAAAAGATAATTAGCAATCTTAATAATGCAAATTAAGCTAATTACATCCTGTGTTCTCAGTTTTCACTCCTCTGGGGTGTATCTCCTATTTTCTTTTTAGGACTTAAATTCTAGTTTCATTTGTATTTGCCTCTCCATTGATTTAATACTTGTTTGCATATGATTGATATTCTTGGTTTTTTATAAGGTTGAATCATGACATTATGTTGCCACATGACGACATTGGTAGTTATTTTGACATAATTCTTCCATGATGTTGTCATTTAATTTCGCCTCACTCTTCACAAACAAAACAAGGCAACAAGTAGTTAGAAGAGTAAGGAGTTGAAAGACTACGTACAATTGTACAAAACTCATACATCCCTTCCATAATTTTCTAAGAAACTAGGTAACACTAGTTGATGAATACATCCTCCATACGTTTTGATACTAGAGGTAAATGTAACATGTCCACACCAAAAGGTGCACACAACACGAGGAACCGAGGAAGTCCAGAGAAAGGAAAATTAGATAGGTTTCGTGCACCGGCTGACAAGCATAAGGGAAGAGAGAAAAAGTGATCGGGACTACAAATCCATCAGTATCATTGTTTAGTTGTTATTATTAGTTCGTAAACTTAATACAAAGTATTAATTTTTGGTATAATTACTTGTTACATCTACCAATAATTGGGTCCATACTCCATACACAAGATATTCGTGAAATTGGCCAAGTTGCAAATTTGTGCATAACATGAATACATCCAACTAGGAAGTCAAGTAACGCCAAATTTAATGAAAGATCGTTCCATATGGGTAAAGTCGTCAGTTTTTGACCCGAACCGTTAAACTCGACTGTTTCGAACCAATTCAAAAAGGAACTGAACTGTCTAAAACCTGTTTTTTAGAAACCGAAAATCGACCCGATCCAATTTTTTTTAACCTGAAACTGAACTGAACTGAACCAAATTTGTGCAAACCGTTACTAACCCGACCCGTTATCAAGCCAAACCGTTACAACCCGAAACTGAAAACATCATGAACCGATTACGTCTGAACTCGATAGTAGCCAGACCAATTTTAAACCGAAAACCGTTTAAACCCAGCAAAAATCCGATAAACCTGAACCGGTCCAACCCGTAATCCGTTGTGACCGAACCATTTATAACCCATAACCCGTTATGACCGAACCGTTTCCAACCTGTAACTCGTTGAGACCGAACTGTTTACGACTCGTACCTGTTGAGACCGAACCGTTTACGACTGGTAACCCGTTATGATTGAGTCGTTTACAACACGTAACCCAATATGTTTATGATCTGATCCGTTTCAACCCACTACTCGATAAACCCAACTTATTTATAACTTAACTTGATTATAACATGATCCGTTCCTACCCATTATCTGACTAACTCGACTAGATAATGATCCAACTCGATTTTAACCCAATATGATTTTTACTGAAACCCGCTACAAATTAGGTAAACCCGTTTTCAAACCGAACAAGTTCAATCCAACCCGATTATGACCTGAACCGATAATGACCGGACCCCCGATTCACCCGATCTATTTTGGACTGAAACCCATTTTAAAACCGAACCGGTTTAACCCAAACTGATTATGACCCGAACCGATTACAACCTAACCCGATTAGAACCTGAATTGTTTTGAACCGAAACTCACTTAAAACTGGCTCCGAAACTCACTTAAAACTGGCTAAACTTGTTTTCAAACCGACCTGGTTCAACCCAAACTGATTATGACCCGAACTAACTACAACTTGACCCGATTGGACCTGACCCGAATAGAAAAAAAAAAAAAAAAACAAACCGAACTAACCCGATGATTTTCATAACCGACCTGCTAATCATTTCAACCCGTTATAAACCAACCCGTTATAACCCAAAACTGATAAACCAAACCCAACCCAAACCCAAACTGTTTACCCGAATTGACACCCCTACATATGGGCCATATCGCATAATCAAAAGTCATCCTTCATAAAAACCATTTATCCTAATACTCAATAATCTACCAGTACATCAATCTGCTTCACAAATCACAATGATAGACCAACAATAGTAAATGTTGGATTTAAAGATTACAAGTGTTCAAAAAGCTCACCCTTAAATTTATAATTGCCACATTTTAAGTACATTATTAAAAAAAAGAAAAGTAACAAAAATATATAGAATATAATAGATGGGCAAATGACAACGCGGTAAATGGATCTATCATTCCTCATTGTAGCAATGAATCCAAAATCAATAAAATCATAAACAAATAGAATGAGTCAATGAAAGGCATGTGATCTCTAATATTTTCCACATGATCTTTCTCATCTGTTGAGCATTGTATGTTAAGCTTTAAACTCACCTCATCAAAAAAAAAAAAATGCATTTTTAGAGTACACATATGATCAGAATGATGAAGAGCAACAGCATTTCCATCACGACTCTTCTTTCCCTACTTTCTTGTTTGTACCGCCTGCTTTAGAATTTCATGCAACTGCTTAGTTGCTGAAGAAACACATTCGGCATTAAAAAGGGCTGAGACAACAGCAACACCTTCCAAATTTGGCACATTGATTTCCATAACAGAATGAGCATTGGACAAGCCTATACCACCAATTGCAACCACGGGTAGTTTTGATGCAAAGCAGACCTCTTTCAGGCCATCCAAGCCAATGGTCTTATTATTTGCTTTAGTGTTAGTTGGGAAAACACCGCCAGAACCAATATAATCAGCCCCATTGATCCAAGCTTCCTGAGCTTGTTCTTGGGTCTTACATGAAACACCAATAATCTTTTCAGGTCCTAGAAGAGATCGAACAAGAGATACTGGCATGTCAGATTGGCCAACATGCACACCATCAGCAACAGAAGCCAATGCTACATCAACTCTGTCGTTAATTAAGATTGGGACTCCTTTAGAGTGGCAAATGCTGACACACTCCTTGGCTGCTTCAATGAAGTCCCTGGTTTCCAAATTCTTTTCCCTGATAAGCACAAAAAAAAAAAAAAAAAAAAAGGGACTTAAATCCAGATCTATCAGCACATATTAGCAGCAAATCTTGGAAACAGTATCATGTCCAGAAACAAAACCAAATATAATTACCATAAGCTGCAAAATTGTTAGCTGCAAACAAGTGGCAATGTCCAAGCAACAAAGAGAAATAGGGAAGATAGGTAACACACAAAAGGGAGGAGAAAAAGGCCAACTGTTTGAAAACATCGTACATAAATACTTTGTCAACTTTCTGAAGCCAAGAGCAACAAGCTATACATGTATTTCCTCAAGAACAAATTTTAAATAAAAAGCAGAAAACACTTCCCTGAGTAGAATTTGTTCTTTTACTGTCTAAAAATAATTTTTTTTCCGTTTAAAACAATCCATCATTAGAATCCTTTTCGAACATAATAGAGCCCTTGGCTAATTAGCCTGCCAATTTTCAGCTTCATTTCGAATTCACTTAGAAAGCACCGGACCAAAACATGGAGAGCTCATTATCATAAAAAATGCTTTTCTGGAAGAGGTGGAGAGAGATAATCATTGGTGCGAGTATAGGAAACTAGAGAAGGTGATGACTGATGATCAGGAGAAAATAAAATAACAATAGTCCCAAGATGTCCCAAATCTTAACTACTTTGCCATAGCAACTGAACTTGAAAGATCTAGCACCACTTATGAGTTCAGAACTTTCAAAATTAAGATTCCTTAAATAATTTGTCATGCTCACGTTTCAACTAGTGAAATACTATACTATACTTCATGTGTTATGTTGGAGAAAAGGGTCCATAAACTTAAGCACCTAGTTCATAATTGAATAAAAGACATAAACCAGAAGAAGTGCAAAGTAATATTCTTGCAGCACCAATCAGAACTCAAAAGAAAATCCCAATATTCAGGAAAACTTCCATTTAAAAATAAAATCAGCTGAACACATAAATGCATATTCCCAGTACAGAACAGAATAACTTCCCTCAAGCTGCAATTTACTTAACACTAGTTTCTTGCCAAACTGAACTCACGCCACACTCAAGTCTATAGTTGAAGTAAAATGAATGTGTAATCAAAACATACCTGAGTTGAACAATGGTCGCTCCTCCTTCTATAGCAGCTTTAACAGCATCTGTAATAGAACGACCCCACTGCTCATTCATCCCAGAATCTGTAACAGCATAGAGAAATAAATCTGATGGACTGAAAGCACGAGGTGCAACTGATCTGCAGACATTAAGCTTCAACAAGTGATCAAAGGGGCCTTGAGGTCCTCTACCAATAGTCATATCTTTTCCGTAATTCAAGGCAGTCTCAACATAACGTTTGGCAATCTGCAAAAGAAAATAGAGAAAGATGTTAGAAGTTCATTACAACCATATTTATTACTATCTACCAAATGGGTCTATTAGTAGTCTATGAGATCTTAGAAGAACATAATGACACAAAAATCAAAGATTACAAGAAATTGACCTCCCCATACACACTGTTTAGAAACTTTAAATACTTGCACAAAAAAAAAAA